AAATAGGAATCTTAAATTAGATACAATCTAGGAAATAAAAGAGACTGGTCTAATTAAATCAAATTAGTCTGTCTAAAATAACTTAAGAGAACGGAGATCAGTCTAATTAAATTAGATTAGTCTTACTAAATAAACTAGGTAAACTAAAGACCAAAAAGGAAGAGTGATATACTCTTTATTTATTTATTTATTTTCTAAATTTTTTTAAAATTCATTTACCTCCTTATTGAGAATCTGTAGAGTTTTCTTTGTTTATGTGTTGCATCTTATTTCTGTTTTACATTTAGTAAATTGTTGGTTTATTACACTTAAGCAGAGGTCTCTGGTGCTGTTATTCTTGCTCCCCACTCCTTAGTGCCTAGAACTGGTCCAGTGGCGCGGTTAGCAGTGTGATACCGGTGCTACACATGACAAAAGACGAGGAACAAAGGACACAGGTGGGATTAAATACGCAAAGGGTAATCAAAGAAACAAGACACGCTTGGGAGTAATCAAGGGGAAAGGCAGGACAAGACGAAGGGCACACAGGACACAGACTCAAAATAAATACACAGAAAAACATGGAACATGACAAAAATCTGTTCCCTTCTTCCTCAGCCTGACTACATCTTTCATTAAAATTTCCAGGTATTTTAATGGAAATTTTACTTGGTCTTTGACCAACTTGCTCTTGGTCAAAGAGCGAGTTGATGCCTTTTTCCAATACGTTCCCATCTGGATTTTTACAAAAAGTCCCTTTCAAAGAGGAGGAATCCTATCAGGCCTTTTTGGCCTGAGGGACTCCGGAAGCAGCTGATGGGCCGATGAGCGGAATACTTCGAAGACCTCCTCAATCCCACTCACATGCCTTCCATTGAGGAAGCTGAGCCTGGGGACTCTGGATAAGGCTCTCCAAACTCTGGGGACGAGATCGCCGAGGTAGTTAAAAAACATCGGGGGCTGATTGTTCCAAGGAGGTGGTGGTCTCCCTTGTTTAAAAGGGGGGACCGGAGAGTGTGTTCCAATTATAGGGGGGTCACACTCTTAAGCCTCCCTGGCAAGGTCTATTCAAGGGTCCTGGAGAGGCGGGTCCGTCGGATAGTCGAACCTCGGATTCAGGAAGAGCAGTGAGGTTTTCATCCTGGCCGTGGAACACTGGACCAGCTCTACACCCTCAGCAGGGTCTTGGAGGGTGCATGTGTTTTGTGGACTTGGAGAAGGTGTTTGACCGTGTCCCTCGGGGTGCCCTGTGTGGGATTCTCAAGGAGTATGGGGTATGGGCTGTCAGCTCTCTTTACGACCCGTGTTGGAGTCTGGTCCACATTGCCGGCAATAAGTCAGGAACGTATCCTGTGAGAGTTGGACTCCGCCAGGGCTGTCCTTTGTCACTGATTCTGTTCATTACTTTCATGGACAGAAATTCCAGGCACAGCTGAGATGTTGAAGGGATCAGTTTTGGTGGCCTTGGGATCCCATCTCTGCTTTTTGTGGATAATGTGGTCCTATTGGCTTCATCGGGACGTGATCTGCAGGTGTCGCTGGAGCGGTTCGCAGCCGAGTGTGAAGCAGCTGGGATGGGGATCAGTGCCTCCAAATCCGAGGCCATGGTCTTGAGTCAGAAAAGGGTAGAGTGCCTTTTCCGGGTCAAGGGGGGTGTCCTGCCCCAAGTGGAGGAGTTGAAATATCTCGGGATCTTGTTCACGAATGAGGGAAACAAGCGTCTGCCATGAAGCAGGCGCTGTTCCGGTCCGTCATGGTAAAGAGAGAGGTGAGTCAAGAAGTGAAGCTCTAGATTTACCCGTCGATCTATGTTCCTACCCTCATCTATGGTCATGAACTTTGGGTCCTGACCGAAAGAACGAGATCGCGGATACAAGCAGCCGAAATGGGTTTTCTCCGTAGGGTGGCTGGGCTGTCACTTAGAGGTAGGGTGAGAAGCTCAGTCATCCGGGAGTGACTCAAGAGTAGAGCTGCTGCTCCTTCACGTCTTGAGGAGCCAGTTGAGATGGTCCGGGCATCTGGTCAGGATGCCTCCTGGACACCTTTTTGGTGAAGTGTACCGGGCATGGGGAAGACCCAGGACACGCTAGAGGGACTATGTCTCTCGGCTGGCCTGGGAACGCCTTGGGGTTCCCCCAGAAGAGCTGGAAGAAATGGCTGAGGAGAGGGAGGTGTGGGCCTCCCTTCTGAAGCGGGTACCCCTGCGACCCGACCCCGGATAAGCGGAAGAAAATGGATGGATGGATGCTTTGGAATGATGCTTTGATTCTGTCATGCATGTTTGAGGGACATTTGAATCTCCCGTGGCAATCGTTTGTTGTTCTTAAACGTTTGCTCTAGCTAAGTGCTGCCTGTTTACCTAAAGCAGTTTCTTGGAGCTTTAGTCTCCAGGTGAGGCCACTCCCCACAGGACCTCCCCTCCCACCACCAGCTCCCCAGAGTAGCAGCAGCAGGAATTAACAAACACCTGGTGGAACTGAGCGTCTGCTGAGGCTCATCATAGGGAACTCTTTTTCAGTCCAATGCTTGTTGTCATGTCTCCTAAATGTTGAGCCTGTGGTCCAGTGAAACTCAGACAAGGAATGAATGGGGCAACACATTAGAACAGCCAGACCTCATCACCTTAAGCACTGGAGAAGGAAAACTCCCCACCTGAGCATCACCACCCACAGCTCCTTCACCTATTGTTACTGGCACATATAAGAGCCACCAGTGCCAGTATGTGTGTGTGTGTTCTAACCCTCCTTGAAGACATTAAGGAGACTCAGAGGGTTCACAGTCGAATGCTACAGTCTCTCCTGAAACAATGTGAAGGACCAGTCGCTGAGATTTTACCTCAGGTTTTATTTTTTCTCTCTGGACTGGCACTGATGATATTAAACCCGTTTCTACACATCTGGTTTCCACACGTTTATTGTCTGAGCCTGATTTGGGGCAAATCTGTATGGAGTCATGCTCAGATGTTAAAAGCTGATTCTGGTTCCCAACAGTTTCAAAAAGAAGTCGATAAATTGTTGTTTTCTGTACATATATACTTTTGAACGTTTTGATTCATAGCTACAAGCTTACTTTAGTTACATTTATAATATATAAATACTTATGGTTATGTCTTATAAAATTATATGAGATTGACATGTGACCTCATATTCATCGTGAAAAGTGAATAATATGAAGAAATTGGACATTTTCATGGTAAAAGGTGGCCCCATAATTTCATAATTGTATATATTTTCAGCTGTTGCATGTGTTGAAAATGTGTATACCATGTGATTTACATATCTCATGTAACTGTGTATCACATGTGATACATGTATGGAACGTAATGCACATGTAATATACATGGGATTCACCTGTGTATCACATGTGCATCGCATGTGATTTCCATGTGTATCACATATTTCCATATGTGGAAATGTGTGTATCACATGTGACACGTGATCACATGGGAATCACGTGTGATTTTACTACGAAATGTCATTCGCACATCATTCAGATGTGGAAAGTCGTGTGAACCACGTGTGGTTTTCATGTGGCACATCTGAGATCACGTGTCGTTCACGTGGGATTTTTTTTGTAAGTGGAGCAGTGCAGTGAGAAACACTGTACCTTGACTTTACAGTACTTTGCTGTGTGTGAAGATGTCCCAATATATCCATTGCAGTCATTACCTGTTATTGATGTTCATTTCAGTAGAATAAGTATTTACAGCGGAGCTGCAGAGCGATCTATGGAGTAGGACGGCTACGGTGGGGGATGTGGAGGAGACACTCACGGGTTGCACTGATGACATTACTGGTATGAAAACTACACTGGAGCGGCTTACGGCTAATGTCACCATGTTGGAAGACAAGTGTGAGGATTTAGAGTCAAGACCGCTGGCTCCTGCTCGCCTACCGCTGTGGCTGCATTGATGAAGAAAGCGCTCGGGCTGGAAAAGGAGCCGCTGGTGGACCGGTCTCATCACTCTCCTCGGGCTCGAGCTGCCTTCAATGAGGTAAAGCGACTATTTCGTGGCATCGAAGGGATCAGGTACGAACTTTTCTACCCAGCGCAGCTAAACATTACTTACACTGTAAAAAAGGAACCTCAGGGGTTATCACATTAACAAAAGAATATCATGTACTGTTAACTAAATAATTGCATGTTTGAGCCAAAAACATGATACAATCATGTTGCATAAATAAGATATTCCACAACTTCAACGTTTATAAAATTGAATCATGTTGAGCGAACATGATTCATTATAGTCAGACCGATCCTATGCTGAAGACCATGAGTGAGATCACGGGATAGCACGCAAGTTCACGCAAGATTACGGGGAATCACGGGATATCACGCGAGAATACGCGAGACAATCGGTTTTTTCTCGCAAATGGAATAAAATGTATTCAAGGTGAGATAACGTGATTCAATTACGTCAGCTAGATCTTCCGCCAAAAAAAAAAAGAACGTCGGGGCGTATTACATTAACAAAAAAATATCATGTACCTTTCACACAATAATGTTGGGTTTGAAACGAAAACGTGATAAAATCATGTTGGATAAACAAGATATTCCACGACTTCACATTTATAAAATTGAATCATGTTGAGCTAACATGATTCATTATATTTAGACTGATATTGTGCTGACGACAACGAGTGAGATCACGGATATCACGCGAGAACACGCGAGACAATCGGTTTTTTCTCTCAACTGAACTAACGTGATTGAATGACGTTATCTCAACTTGAATACATCTAATTCATCTGAGGGTCCTGCGCAGTATTTTATATATATATATATATATATATATATATATATATATATATATATATATATATATATATATATATATATGTGTGTGTGTGTGTGTGTGTGTGTGTGTGTGTGTGTGTGTGTGTGTGTGTGTTTTTATTTTATTCAATATCAATATTTGTCAAAGTTAATCTAATAAAAAAAAAACACAGTGACGTCAGTTCCAAAGCGCTATTGTGTCAAACTCATCTCCCGCTGAAGAGGATCCAGAGACATCAAGAGATTACGGAAAATCACGCGAGATAACTGGCTTGCACCTTGTTGGGTTTTTTCAAGGGCAGAGGGGAGATTCCTGGCGTGCATCTACTTAATTTGAAGAAGGTAAGAGTCAAACTATTTTCATCTAAATCCATATAAAAATATGTAACTTAAAATTTCTCTACCATTTGCATTTTCTACTTGTTCCATACTTGTGTCACATTATTTCATGTTCTGTAGATTAAGTCGGTTAGGTTAAGGCAGATAGCTTTTTGTTTACATTTATCGCCGCACCATGTTAGGTACATTCTGTGCGAAAAAAGTCTGCAGAGCCATATGTAGTGTACAAAGCTGCTGCCAGAGACACAAATGGACCCCAGAAATGTCACAGTTTTGCTCCTCCTGAGCTCCCTGGAGGTTTAGTGGATTTTTAACACACTGATCTAACATCAGTCTATTTCTAACTATTTTAATTCTATTTCAGTAATGTTACTATGGAGGTAAATGTAGATACACACACACACTTTGGTACCTTTCTATCATCATCGAGATTCTTAATTAATTATGGTAATAAAAAGTCCTACATTTCAGTCGGTGAAACCTGCAGAAAGCATTGCTTTCTGAGCTTTGTTAAATGTTCCTTAAATACCTGTTAGTTATGGATTTCTAGTATATTTTGTCAGGCTAAAACTCTCAATGGATTATCCATTATTACAGACTTGAGCTTTCTATTTTTCTTTAAATACATATTCCTCTGCTGTAAGATGTTGGGGTTTTTTGGACTCTTCTTTGTTGTCCCCAAATAATTGTAGCTCAGAAACAATATTGAAGTTCATTGGTTTAATTTTGAAATGTTGATGTTTTTTGTGTTGATTGTGCTCATTTTGACCTATGTTACTATTGCTTTTCTACCATGTTCAATTCACCTCTGTTCTGCACATATGTGCTTGCATGTGTCCTGTGGTTTTATTCATGAGGCATTCAAGGGACTTGTACTAAAAGATACAACTCAGTTCAGTATGAATTGCATATTTTAATGGCTGAAAATATATCTGATCTCTTTCAGAACATCACCTGATCACCTGTCTGTAATCCACCTGCGTAAGTACTGGTCAAGGGGCTCATCGGCTATCAAGTTATAGATTTCAGTGGCTAATAGTAAGTTTTGCCAGATCTAAAGTGACTGAATGTAGTGTTAGAGCTTATAAAGCTAGGGTTCAGCTAAACATTTATTGGCCAGTCTGTTTTATTTGTTTTATTTGCGTGGGGATGTGGAAATGTAAGGAGTGTAGTCTCTTTCTGTCTCGTAGATATGACCTGTTAAACATTTTACACTTAAACACCGGCATATGCGACGTTATCCATGCCCACACATAGACTGTCCATGTACTTGTAAGACATGGAATGCTTTGCATATTCATTTAAGTAGAAGGATATAGACTGTGTTGACCATTCTGTACTTTTCACATATTTCTTTGGTGATATATTCATGTCTTTATTTAAACATCTAACAGCTTCAGTTAGATGTTTAAATGAGATGTTATACTCAATTTAGTGGCATAATGAAGGGATACTAACAATTTTAAAATATCTTTCAAACAGACTGCAAGTCACTGATCACTTTTGTTGTGACTTCCTTTGAATGCAGCTATGTTTTCAAGTGTGTGAACCTATACTGCTGGAGTTTTGAGATTGTTCTCTTTGTTTTTTGATCTGCATATTTAGGAAGACACTGCTGAGGTCAGACGAGAGTGCATCCTCAAAGGTCTGTGTGTACCTAAATGAAGATCCAGAGAAGCTGGTGAGGGAGTACATGGTATGTAAAATTCTCTTTGTGTTAATAGAACTCCTGAGTTGTTAAAATACTTTCACCAACTAAGGTCCATGAGTGACTCAATCAATGTCAGTCTAATTTATTTATTTAATTACATGTGAATTGTCTCCCCCCAATACCCTTCCCTAACTCCCTTAGGACGTTGATGAATGAAATGGCCAGAACATCACCTGATCACCTGTCTGTAATCCACCTGCGTAAGTACGTGCTCATGACGATTCCTCGGAATCGTCATTTGAGCAGAGGGTGCAGAGGCTGCCGATGCACATCTGGATGTTGGGATTGTCCTGGAGGAGGTGGAAGTTATGAACAGCTTGGGCAGTGTATCTTCTGCAATAGTGATGCTGCTGGGACTAATCTACGCACTAAACTTGAGCTACCCTCAAGTTTAGTGCGTTCAGCACTCAACTTGCTCAGTAACTCAAGCATACCTTTGAAGTAATACAGAAAATAATAATGAAATTGGATGGAAAGAACTTATCAAAGAAAGCACAAGTTCTCAATATGAAACTCGCTGCTAAGTTGAGTAAAGTTTCACATGGAAAATGAGTGTTTAAAGTCTGCAGTAGAAAAGATTTATATTGTTACAGTTCTCTAAGTTGAGCAACTATACTGACATGTTTATGTAAAGAATTGGCTGGGAAATGAAACTGTAACCTTTTTGTAGTTGTTTTTATTTCAATGTCCAACTCAGCTGTGTTTTGTGCTGTGTAAAAAAACGATGTATAACAATTCTGAAAATACAATTGTGTTGTACCTTTTCTAATTGTTGAGTGTTCTTCCTACACTTTCACCTAGTGCTATCTTAAAATGCTTGATTAACGCTTGAAAATATGTCTTTGAATTAACGTCATGAAATAATGGAAAGGATTTCCACACAATTAAATAGCTGTCTTTTAGCATGAAGCATATTTGTTGAGCTAACTTGCTTTTAGTGAGTTGGACCTACTGAATCAGGTAGTGTGAAGGTACCACTGTAAAATAAGGTGGTTTCAAACTAGATTTACATTCATCTTAATGAAGTTACATCAATGATTTGGTCCTAAACATTGCAGATTAGTTGGGCGGGCTGTATTGCACTACACTGGGTCACACTATAGTAACTGAGTTAAAGGAACCTTTAAAACATATGTTGAGCCAACACATTTCATTTGAATTTGAATAACCTTAATGAATGGAGTTGAGCCAACTCATTTGATTTACAATCATCCATTGCATTACCATAATTCTGGTTAAGCCAACATATTTGGTTTAAATTAGAACAACCTTAATGAATTATGTTTGCCAACTCATTTTATTTATAAGAATAACCACAATATATTACGTTGAGCCAACATGTTTGATTTAGAATCACCCATTGAATCACCATTGTAACAAGTGGAGCCAACACATTTGCTTTACATTGGAATAATCTTAATAAATTAGGTTGACCTAACACATTTGCTTTAAATAGGAGTAACACAAGTACATGGTGCTGAAATAAAGCAAAGTAATCAGGTGGAAATCCTTTCCATAATTTTTTATGTTCATCCAATGACTTATTTTTTTCAGTGTAAAATGGAGTGGTAAAGGTTTACTGCATCCGAATACGCAAAACAATATAGCCTATTCAGACTCTGATTTCCGAGTGAGCCTGACTCGCTCTCGGTGAGCCCTGGTCATAGACTGTGTTTGGGTGAATATATAGTTCTTAACTTTAAATTTAGACCTGAGGCTCAGATTCATCACTGGGAAATTAAAGTTTTGGTTATGTCCTGTTCAGTTTAGAAATTAATAATACTCGTGATCATCTAAACAAATTGTTTGGTAGCATTTTTTTCCATTATATAGGGATTATGCAGTTTCCAACCTTGCTGCAATGTAATAAAAATAATCTTAAAGTAGTACAATAATGCACATACTGGTGTTCCAATTTGGAGGTTGGCGGGGGCTATTAGCCGGTTTTTGTTAAATACACTTCCGGGCTTTTTTGCTCTGCTTTATCTCTGTGTTCACATTTTATTGTGAATAACTGCTGTGTTTAGCACTGCTGTCTCCATTGTTCTGTTTTTATGGAGACTTTGGATGTTGGGGAGGACCATCTCAGCTCTCAATGGTTGTTTTCATTCTTATGACTTTAATTCTTATTTCATTCTGGTGACGGTGGCAGAGGCGAGGACACTGAACAAACTGCTGGACGTCATGGACGATAGCAGCCACCCTCTACACGCTGTCATCAGCAGTCAGAGGAGCCTGTTCAGTGACAGACTGCTGCTTCCCAAGTGCCTGACCAATAGATTCAACACTGAAAAAAATAAGTCATTGGATGAACATAAAAAAATTATGGAAAGGATTTCCACCTGATTACTTTGCTTTATTTCAGCACCATGTACTTGTGTTACTCCTATTTAATGCAAATGTGTTAGGTCAACCTAATTTATTAAGATTATTCCAATGTAAAGCAAATGTGTTGGCTCAACTTGTTACAATGGTGATTCAATTGGTGATTCTAAATCAAACATGTTGGCTCAACTTAATATATTGTGGTTATTCTTATATAAATAAATGAGTTGGCAAAACATAATTCATTAAGGTTGTTCTAATTTAAACCAAATATGTTGGCTTAACCAGAATCATGGTAAGGCAATGGATGATTGTAAATCAAATGAGTTGGCTCAACTCCATTCATTAAGGTTATTCAAATTCAAATGAAATGTGTTGGCTCAACATATGTTTTAAAGGTTCCTTTAACTCAGTTACTATAGCGTGACCCAGTGTAATGCAATACAGCCCGCCCAACTAATCTGCAATGTTTAGGACCAAATCATTGATGTAACTTCATTAAGATGAATGTAAATCTAGTTGAAACCACCTTATTTTACAGTGGTACCTTCACACTACCTGATTCAGTAGGTCCAACTCACTAAAAGCAAGTTAGCTCAACAAATATGCTTCATGCTAAAAGACAGCTAGTTAATCGTGTGAAAATCCTTTCCATTATTTCATGACGTTAATTCAAGACATATTTTCAAGCGTTAATCAAGCATTTTAAGATAGCACTAGGTGAAAGTGTAGGAAGAACACTCAACAATTAGAAAAGGTACAACACAATTGTATTTTGTTATACATCGTTTTTTTACACAGCACAAAACACAGCTGAGTTGGACATTGAAATAAAAAACAACTACAAAAAGGTTACAGTTTCATTTCCCAGCCAATTCTTTACAACATAAAACATGTCATTATAGTTGCTCAACTTAGAGAACTGTAACAATATAAATCTTTTCTACTGCAGACTTTAAACACTCATTTTCCATATGAAACTTTGCTCAACTTAGCAGCGAGTTTCATATTGAGAACTTGTGCTTTCTTTGATAAGTTCTTTCCATCCAATTTCATTATTATTTTCTGTATTACTTCAAGGTATGCTTGAGTTACTGAGCAAGTTGAGTGCTGAACGCACTAAACTTGAGGGTAGCTCAAGTTTAGTGCGTAGATTAGTCCCAGCAGCATCACTATTGCAGAAGATACACTGCCCAAGCTGTTCATAACTTCCACCTCCTCCAGGACAATCCCAACATCCAGATGTGCATCGGCAGCCTCTGCACCCTCTGCTCAAATGACGATTCCGAGGACAGTCTCGGCTTTGGCCATTTCATTCATCAACGTCCTAAGGGAGTTAGGGAAGGGTATTGGGGGGGAGACAATTCACATGTAATTAAATAAATAAATTAAGACTGACATTGATTGAGTCACTCATGGACCTTAGTTGGTGAAAGTATTTTAACAACTCTTAGGAGTTCTATTGTAAACACAAAGAGAATTTAACATACCATGTACTCCCTCACCAGCTTCTTTGGATCTTCATTTAGGTACACACAGACATTTGAGGATGCACTCTCGTCTGACCTCAGCAGTGTCTTCCTAAATATGCAGATCAAAAAACAATGAGAACAATCTCAAAACTCCAGCAGTATAGGTTCACACACTTGAAAACATAGCTACATTCAAAGGAAGTCACAACAAAAGTGATCAGTGACTTGCAGTCTATTTGAAAGATATTTAAAATTGTTAGTATCCCTTCATTATGCCATGACTAAAATGGAGTTTACATCTCATTTAAACATCTAACTGAAGCTGTTAGAGGTTTTAAATAAAGACATGAATATATCACCAAGAAATATGTGAAAAGTACAGAATGGTCAACACAGTCTATATCCTTCTACTTAAATGAATATGCAAAGCATTCCATGTCTTACAAGTACATGGACAGTCTATGTGTGGGCATGGATAACGTCGCATATGCCGGTGTTTAAGTGTAAAATGTTTTAACAGGTCATATCTACGAGACAGAGAGAGACTACACTTCTTACATTTCCACATCCCCACACAAATAAAGACAAATAAAACAGACTGGCCAAATAAATGTTTAGCTGAACCCTAGCTTTATAAGCTCTCTAACACTACATTCAGTCACTTTAGATCTGGCAAAACTTACTATTAGCCACTGAAATCTATAACTTGATAGCCGATGAGCCCCTTGACCAGTACTTACGCAGGTGGATTACAGACAGGTGATGTTCTGAAAGAGATCAGATATATTTTTCAGCCATTAAAATATGCAATTCATACTGAACTGAGTTGTATCTTTTAGTACAAGTCCCTTGAATGCCTCATGAATTAACCACTGGACACTTGTATGCAAGCACATATGTGCAGAACAATGGTGAATTGAACATGGTAGAAAGCAATAGTAACAAGGTCAAAATGAGCACAAACAATCACACAAAAAACATCAACATTTCAAAATTAAACCAATGAACTTCAATATTGTTTCTGAGCTACAATTATTTGGGGACAACAAAGAAGAGTCCAAAAAACCCCAACATCTTTACAGCAGAGGAATATGTATTTTAAAGAAAAAAATAGAAAGCTCAAGTCTGTAATAATGGATAATCCATTGAGAGTTTTAGCCTGACAAAATATACTAGAAATCCACAACTAACAGGTATTTTAGGAACATTTAACAAGCTCAGAAAGCAATGCTTTCTGCAGGTTTCACCGACTGAAATGTAGGACTTTTTTATTACCATAATTAATTAAGATCTCGATGATGATAGAAAGGTACCAAAGTGTGTGTGTGTATCTACATTTACCTCCATAGTAACATTACTGAAATAGAATTAAAATAGTTAGAAATAGACTGATGTTAGATCAGTGTGTTAAAA